CCACCATCGCGAAATGGTGGCTGCCGCCGTGAGCCGCCGTTGACCACCACCACCCGAGGTGGTAGTGGGTGGTACAGAGCCTAGTGGAACCCTAATTGGCCTAATAGCTAAATCTTGGACTTAGTTGGTTTGTGTTTGGGTTAGAAACCCTAATTAGGGTTTAGAAAACCCTAATTTTAGAAAATGTTAGTTTTGGATTCCCAGGACCCGCGTTTGGACCAGTGGATAGATGTATGGCTTATGGCCAATTACATTGTATGATTCACCTAGTAGATTGATGGACTCAATGGATTAAGTCCTTAATGGGTTACATGTTTCTAATTAACCTTAATTGTAATTTCATGTGAAAACCCTAATTGTGTTGGGTTTGAGTTGCGCCTTTTATGTTGGGCCTAGATGTTGGACTATTGATGGGACATCCAAGAACTAGTATATGGACTAGAATATTTGGATTGGGCTTCAGGATAAGGCCCATTGTATAGGTATGGGCCCAATTGGGAAAATTGGGCCATAGGTGGGCTATAATTGGGCCTTGATGATTATGAGATATTGGACCATTGGATTGCCAAGTGTTTGGACCAGAATAAATGATTGGGCCTTAAGGTAAGACCATGTAGGGGTTTGGGCCCAATTTGGAAGTTAGGCCATATGTTGGACTTTGGTTCATTATTAGACTTTTGGGCCTCTGGATTGGGCCTTGGGCTTTAATCAAGCTAAGTTATGGGTAAAGTAGTCTTTTACGCCAAGCATGGATTTATGGATATGTGTTGGGACCCAACTATTAATTGGGTGTTATTTTGATGTTGACAGATTCGAGAATCTGTCATCCAGCAGCTAGGGTTTTGTCCGCGGGACTTCAGCAGTGTGAGGTGAGTCCTCTTCCAGTAGGAACGGGTCTAAGGCACCAAGGCCGGCTCGTTTAGTTAGTAGTATCTCTGGACTACGGTCCGATGTCGGGCGGGGCCCGATGCAGGTTTATATGCTTTTCCGGAATTCGACCCGATGCCGGGGCAAGCCCGAGGAATGTTTGTATGCTTGATTTCTTCGTGACTCTTGCATGTGTCTGTTTGTATGTTTCCGAACTTCGGTCCAATGTCTAGCGGGACCCGATGAATGTTTTTATGTTTATGTTTATATGTATATGTTGATATTCATATGTATACCGAGCTTTGCTCGATGCCGGGCGGGGCCCGATGCCGGACTTCGGTTCGATGCCGGGCGGGGCCCGATGTAGTGGGCTAGGCCCAAGATATGTTTATGTTACGTGTACGTTATATGCATGTTGATATGTTATATCTATACCAGACTTTGGTCCGATGTCGGGCGGGGCCTGATGCCCGATGCGGCCAGATGCCGGGCGGGGCCCGATGTAGCGGGCAAGGCCCAATGTTATGTTTATATGTTTATGAATATGTGATTATGTTTATGTAATTATTGATCTGATCATATGTATACTGAGCTTTGCTCGATGCCGGGCGGGGCCCGATGTAGCAGGGCGGGGCCGACGATGTGTTTGTGTGAAATATGTATGGTATGTGGTAGTTTAGGGAGACTCACTGAGCTTCGTGCTTACGGTTTTCAGTTTTCGTTTCAAGTACTTCGGTTTTCAAAAGAGGAGCTCGGGATGATTGTAGTGCAAACACCATTTTTTCAGCCTGGGATGTTTATACTCTGATATATTTGACAAATGTTATGATATTCTTGAGATACACGATTTATGATTTTTATATGTTGAATGATAATTATGGTTTTATTAATGATTTAAAACGAAATTTTTAGACTGTATTTTTGGGATGTTTCAAGTTGGTATCAGAGCCTTGGTTTGAGGGATTCGGGTACACTCTCGGATGTGTCTGAACTCAAACTAAGTGCTTGGTATCAAAATTTTCAAAAGAAAATAATTTTTTTATAAAAAGAATTTTGAAAAGAGGAAAGAATTTTGAAAAGAAAAAAAAGAACTTTGAAAGAGAAAAGGGTGTGGTGCATGCAATCAGCCGAGCTCAAGTAAGTACTCCCAAATTACCCATACAAGTTTATGTTATGATATGTGTATCAGCCTTATGAGAACTGCATGCTAGATTAGGACTAAGGATCTATGAAGGATGCCTTATGTGCCTGTTATATGTGTATCAGCTTTATGAAAACTGCATGCTAGATTAGGACTAAGGATCTAGGAAGGATGCCTTATGTGCCTGTTATATGTGTATGAGCTTGATGAACTGCATGCTAGTACTGATTAGTCAGTGATGATGGCCTGAATGAGATATGCTTGATTACGTGTACTCAATGCTCGAATGCTGCTTGCTTTGTGCTTTTAAGAGTTCTAGTTATCTTTTACTAACTAGTAAACGAATATGTTAAGTTATATATTGCGAGGACTAAATAATTTCAGAAGGTTAGGTTTAGCCTTATTTCGCAGCTCTCGTTTGAGTCTAACCGTTGCAGGGTAGAACCTCTCATTCGAAGAATTATCTAGTCTTAATGATATGTAATAGTATTCACGAGCTAGTTAGGGGGAGATAGTAGGGACTTCTTATGCAGCTGATACCGGAGAGTGGGTTGGTGATTACCCTAGGGCAAGCCTAGGATGAGCTTAGCATGAGATCAGCAGTAGTAATAGAAGGGACTTGGTGGAGTCGAGGCAGTTCTTGAGGAAAGTACGGATTGATGTGGAAGGTAGTATGGGCCCGTACTACTGAAAGCAGAGGATCCGTACTCGAATCAAGGAATGCTGAGATGAACCTAGGGAACTTGTAGTGTGTGAGATCCCTCGAGTTATGATGAGTATTCAAATGATTGTTATGGTATATTTCCTAGTATGGTGATGCTATGTGGTAGACCAGATGGAAGTTCTGGTACCGGCAGGGGATCAGGTTCGGACTCTGAAGCCGGGCAGCTCGATGATCAGATGAAGGAGTTCATTCCATCTGAGAGTACGCACAATATCACTTACCAGACTCATGTGATCTGCGGTATGATCAAAGAGGGCATTTTAGAGATTTGTGATGAGAGGCTGAGTGCATCCTGCACTAAGATCGCAGCCATGATAGGGACGCGTACGTTGATGTTTGGGAATTCAGAGCTTGTGAAGCTCCAGATTATCATGGGGCTAGGGACCCCATTACTAGTAGCAGATGGTTGGCAGATGTCCCCAACACTTTTTGTACCAGCCGATGTCTCGAAAGGGGACAAGGTGCGACTTACTTCTAGCCTCGCGAAGGACATGGCACGTGATTGATGGGAAGAGGTTGGTAGTGAGTTGGGTGATGATACGGTCGATGTTATGTTATGGGATGACTCTTCGACCAGATTATGGGCAGAGTTTGCCCATGCTCACTACTAGAAAAACATTCTTTTACGACGCGCAATGCGTGTCGTAAAACGCTCAGACGACGCGCAAATGCACGTCAAGAAAGGCCCTATCATAACGAGAGACGACACGCTTTTGCGCGTCGTAACCTTACGACGCGCATTTACGACGCGCGTTTACGACGTGCAATGCGTGTCAAGGAAGGCCCTGTGATAAAGAAGATGACACGCATTCGCGTGTCGTAAAACGATGCACATTTACGACTTGCATTGCGTATCATTAAAGCCCATGTCATGAAGAAAGACGACACACATTTTTGCGTGTCATAAAGTTTAAATGTTTTAAAAAATATATATATTTTTTGTATATTTACTAATTTTCAAATTGCATCACACATTTAATGTCTCATAATATAAAATAAAATTTCATAAACAAAAAATAAAATAAATTGCACAAATTATAATATGTCATACAAATAATCATTCAAATGTTAAACAAAAACAATACATTGCTAACATGGGTTATACATTCCTATAAAACTAACAACCCTCGGTGACCTTGATCTTGATCGAGGTCGACTTGGATCGATGGCAACAATAGCATTTTAGATACACACCATGATTACTGACCTAAGACCTTGTGCAAAAAGTGCATCTCATGCCCTATTTCTAGCAACCACCACACATTTTAGTGTCTCAAGGGCTAGTATACTTCCTCCTTGCCATCCAATAGCTTTCATTAACAATGGAACCACCTGTAATTTATTAAAAAATCAAGGTCAAAACTGAAAACTAAGTATGCCCTTGCTCCTTTTTTCCCTTAACATAGGTAAATAATGATGTCTATCTGGATAAAGCTTGTTCCTTTTCTAGACTGTAAGAGGATTTTGATTGAGTCATTAAGTCCATTAAGTCAAAATGAAACAGATACTAACAGTTTTAATGAAGTACACGACCAAAATCAAAATGATCATAAAATATAAATAAATAAAAAAGTGAGAGACCTGAGTTGTCCATTAAGCAAATACAGATTACCTTTTGTCAAAAAGATGAGCAGTACCGACCCATTGCTCTTCGTAAATAGCCACCCTCATGATTTGAGTTGTCCAACATGTATGTCAACTGGACCCCTTGAATAGCACAAAGGCTGGTAGAAGCCATTTAACACCTGATGAATAGCACAAAGGTGGCAACGACTGCTACACTCCACATAAACTTATGGAAACTACCAGATAGTTCCACACAAAAATCTGTGTTCGTGATAAAAATGAATCAAATGAGGTAGAATTTTCACTATCAGTCATATCTAAAGTCGAAATCACTCTAAAATTTAATCCAAACGAAATCAAATGAGGTAGAATTTTCACCATGTAATACTTCTGCCCAGCAACCATCACATGATTACAAAGCTTCTGAAAGAGAAACCGAAGATTGAGAATTCTAAATCTCAATCTGAAATCAAAATCATAGGGAAGAAATCCGAAATCATAAAATCAGATGAGAAGAAATCTTTGAACAATTGACAAAATTACCCTATGACTTATGAACAAAAAAATAGAAAAGGGTAGTGTAGCCATTATTCTTAAAAATGACAAAAAAACATTACAAAAAAGGAAAACTTTTGCAATTTATTTTAAAATTAGATAAAAAAAGGCTTGTGGAAGCGTGCATAATAAATTAAAACGAATGTTTTACAACAGTAACACAATACTTGTAGTTGTTGCTTTATCACCTTCTTTCTTCTTTTCTTTATTTGCCTGTGATTTCTCCTTCTTCACTATAGAAAATTTCACTGTCGCAGACTTCAAAACAAAACTCCCAGAACCCTTTGCATCTTCTGCAACATCCAATAATATAAATCATTATCTAAACAAAAATGACTGTCTATTTCAAAAGTAATAGTTACTGTTACTGTTGTTAACTAAACTGACCTTTTTTAGTACTACTTGTTTTTGTTAAGTAATCTGTTGGGGAATCCGAAACCTTCTGTTTATGCATCATAAAGAAAAAAGTTAAAAAAAAAAAAAAGAAATCTGTCATATAACATTAATCCCATAAAAACCGTTTGTTATCCAAAACCAACTTTGGATCTTGATCAGGCTTAGTATTGCTGGTAGATTTCTCAACATTGCATGTATCTTCACTATTAGAACAAACATGGTGCCCTTCATGGGTGCATGGCAAATCTACACCAGAAGTACTTTCATCAGCTCTATCAGCTCTATGGGTTCACATTGATGATTCTCAAAACTATCAGGTGCAATAGCTGTTAAATCTTCTGCACCGGCTGAAATTCCACAGTTTAACAAACTGTTCTTGATCATCAAGATCCCATGACTCACAGCTTTGACATGGAATAATCCAATGCATCCACAAGGAAATCTACACATACATGAATACAATGTTAAAATTCATTCAGTAGATGAAAACATGTATTTGATATATATGTATACATATATGTATATGTATACACATGTATTATGTATATATGTGAAAGAATACCTGCATCATCTTTATTGAAGCATATAGGTGGTTTTATCTTGAAAACATTCCCATGTAATCCACCTTTTCCAACCAGAACCCTGAGCTCTTCATTCACAATAATATAATAAAAAACAATTATATCAAGGTCAAAATGGGTAATTCAAAGTTTTCATACATAACATACCTCGTAGTTTTTCAAACAAAATGGCAGTTTCGCCCTTTGCTGGTGCCTTCTCTTTCCGATCAGTCACAAGCTCAATTCCCACCATCAATCCTCTCCCCAGCTGAAATTCCACAACTATTGCACCTGATAGTTTTGGAAAACTTGAATTTGACTTTTAACAAACCAGCAAGTGCGGGCCCACAAGCCATTCCAAGTGCACTTGCACTAACAAAACCAGCAGAAGCCTGAATTCGGATCTTTAAAGGCACATAATCACTGATATACCTTCTGTTCACAGCTCTAGCTGAACCAAGCCTGTAAATTATATAAAAACCAAAGATTGTCATTATCAAAATAAGGTGTGAGTTTTGACTTTTGAGGTCAAAAGTCAAAATAAAATTACATAATTTTGAACTCGCCTGCAAAATACACGACCAAGTAAAAGCACTGTAATGGAGTTCATATCATAAGCCATTGCATACATGACATTACCCATGAAAAGAACAATGATGCTAAAGATCAAGCACTGAAATAAAAAATTGACCAAGCACTGAATATGTTGAGTTATGAGTTATTTTGTATTGTAGGTTATTCTATCCCCGATTGACTCGGTGGAAAATACATGCAATGCACTACTATCTGAGGGAACCCCCTCTGAGTTTCAACGAATCCTAGACCTCAAGGACCTCAAGGTTACCTTCTACTTCTACTTCTAATCATATTATAAGTGTCACATCATGTGTCACTTGTTTCTTTTCCTATTAACTGATGATCTCTAGATACATTACAATTACATACGATGTTCAAAAAACACTAGTCTTTCTTGAAATAAAAAAAACATATATAAACCAAGGCAAATTTGTAAAAATAATTAAATTAGGTCTTAACAAGGAAAGCCTTCTGCTAAGTCGTTCTTTCTTCAGTAAGTTAAAGAAAAAACAACACTTATTTATTCTAACTCATCAAACATGGAACAAAAGGAAAGGCATCACATTCTCGTTTTTTATTAATAAGGCTTACCAACAAAGCCATTTTCCCAGAAAGTAATTTGTCCCCTGTTCTTCTTCTGTTCTCACCTGTTAATCAGTTTTTTTTCATCTTATGTACCTTGGTAATATCCAGATTGTATTCTTACAGGAGCTAGTCGCACTCTAGGGCTTGTATTACTGAAAGTCGAAGGCCTAGAAGATAAAGAGTAAATTATCGAATTGATCCTCACAGACATCAATATTTGGTAACCATTATCAGATTAGAAGCCACGATATAAAGAAAAAGGAGAAATTAAAGGGATAAATATTGAAACTTATATATATCATTAACCTTCGAATAAATGGATTAAGAGATGTTCTTACATGTTCAAATATATTGAAGATCTCGACGATTCATCCCTTTCTCACAGAGGATACAAAGTACATCAAGCGAATTCTCGAAAGGTAACAAAAGGCGATGAGGGCATCAGATGGAGTGTCGACATGGGTAAATGTTGATTCAAGCCCCCGAAATCGCTCCAAAGGGGTCGACGAGGGGAGGGGGAAACGATTTCAATGTAAGATAGAGGAGGTTGCTTCGAGCCCTAGAAATCAGACGACGTCAAGAATAATGAAGAAGCTAAGGGGGTGTTTGAGAGTGATGTATGTTCTTGTTCTGGATGTGTAGCTGAGAGGTATCGTGCTTGAAGGTGGTTGCAATCAACATTTATTTATGTAGACGATAGGTGAAGCGAGGAGTTCGATCGATGTTTTTAGAGTGAAATCAAAGATTGGAGAGCCGAAGAGGAGAGAATCACAGAACCGTGAAGTGTGGATTGAGTTTTTAGGGTTCAATGGTGGTGGTGATGGATTACGATTTGCAGAGAAAATGGAGTGAAAGAATGAATGGAGATAGATCTAGAGGAGACTGTACAGAAGCAGGGAACTTCAAAATTTTAGAATTTCAGACGATTTCAATTTCCCTCTTTAAAAACGCGCGTTTGTCTAAAAACTTATAAAGCGACGATAATAGAGGACGCACATTTAAGATAAGCGCCCTCCGTGTTTGTAATTTTTTTTTGTTGGACACTAATTTTAGGGCATGCATAAATGCGTATCGTCTATCCTTCAAATTTTGCAAAAGTGACATTATTTTTTAGGGCACGCACAAATGCGTGTCCTCTATCGGCACATATCATTGTTTGCGCGTCATTAAAGGGCTGTTTTCTAGTAGTGGCGATTGAGGCGCAACAGTTGGCGCAAGAGCTATTAGATCTCCGCCAGGCTACAGACACTGTGGCAGAGATCACTGCCAAGTCTCGGGAGACAGCTTCGTTGGTACCAAAGTATGCAGCAGATGAGGAAATGAAGAAGGTCAGGTATCAAGACATACTGCAGAATGATGCCAGGAAGATCATGAGTATCTCGGGATGTGAGATCCTGAATGATATGACTTCTAGAGCCCGAGAACGAGATATTGACTTGGAGGACATTGGGAAGAGGGAACCAGATCAATTGCTTATATTGAAGGGTCTCGGGAGGAGACCCAAGATTTCAGATCAGCTTTTGAGTGGCCAGCAGGGCCAGATTCGGTGCAGCACTTGTGGGAAACTGCTCGGTGGAGCCTTTCGTTCCAAGGGTTTGAGTAAGTATAACTCTGGGTTATCCTCTGTTGTGTTTGAGTTATATTTTCAAGAGATTCCATATGCCAATTGCATACCGATAATTATTAGTGGGCAGCGGAAGGTCATTTCCCTAATTGTGGATTCGGGAAGTATTCATCGGGTTCTTGGAAGTTGTGTGATTTTTTGGATTGGCTAGTATTGGAACACTAGCAATAGTAAGCGTGGTTTCCAGCAGATTGGTCATGGGATGGTAAGAAGGATTGAGAATCCTTCCAATATTGTGTGCTGTAAGATGGTAGTTGAATCAAAGTGGGGGAGAATCATCCGGGGATTCAGAAGCAGGAGCAGTTTTGAAACTGGGATAAGTTTCACATCCTTGTCAGAAAGGAAGATAGCCCAAGCGACTATATGGATTGAGGATAGTGTGAGTTGGAAGTTCGAAAAACTTTTCAATAATGAGATTGCGTTCTCGAAATGTTTGCTAGCAAGCCTTAGGGAATCATGTTGGGGATTCCAGTAAGGACATGATATCAGTTTGGGATGATAGGTCTTTTGGATAAGGTGTCTAAGTCCATAACTATATTTGGTATATACTTGACCCGGCTTGGCATGGTCCATTTGGGTTGCATGACATCGCAATAATTGGATAGACAAAATGAGAAAATGACACTTATGATTTGTTAATATATTATAAGTTATAATATATTAATATGAAATCATATTATTTAATTAGTATTGGTCAAGAATTAATTTGGAATTAATTTTCTGATAAAAAAGACTAATTAAATATATGGGGATTGATTATGTAAATCATTCATTCTTATATAGTGGGCTTATGACCCATGATTCACTAGATTAGGCTAAGTCCCATTGGGTGCTCCATGGAGGTTAAAACCCATGGATCATGGAGGAAATGAAAAGTCATGCACATTAGGGTTTACATGGTGTAACCCTACATGTGGCACACTATATAAAGAGCCTCATATGGAGCAAAATCGGCAACTAAGACATAAGGGTGAGGGCTAGCCGAATTTATGCACAAGTGTACTTCTCTCAAGTTATTCCAAGAGTTGTGGTGTTGTGTGAAGCATTTGAGGCATCAGTTTAGGGTGCTAGGCTCAGAAGGTCTTAAGGAATCCAAGCAACAAGAAAGGTATGTCATTCTACTGGTTTTTATATTACATGTACCCCAATCACATGTTAGTTAGGATGAAAACCTTGGAAAATGAATATTTGCATGTATAATAGAGAAAACATAGATCCAAGGTTTCTAGGGTTGCATGCACACCATAGGAGTGTTAGAATGCTCAAAACCCATCAGTGGTATCAGAGCATAGGCTTATTTTCATTATACTTGATGCAAATTGCTAAATAAAAGTCGAAATTTTGATCACTGTTTAGTGAACTCGTCGAGTCCATGGGGGACTCGACGAGTCCAAGTGAAAGTTCATCCTACTCGTCGAGTAGGTTCTTGCACTTGGCGAGTAGGAGGCCCTGAGTGCAGAAATTCGAGTTTTGTTGCTGGAATTGGACTAGAATCATTACCCTAAACTGTTTTGGACTTATAAAATCTGTTTTTGATGTGGTAATGATTATGCTAATCCATTTTCAAAGGTTATTATCAAAGTTTCAAGTTTTATATATGTTTATATGATTTTTGAAAATTGTTGATATGAATGTTCATGCTTATAAGTTTTGGTAAATCATAGGAATTGTTTGCAAATTGTTTGTTAGTGTAATTCTTGATCTAAATGCCAATTAATGGACTCCATAACTTGTCCTCAAGTTATGGAATTCCAAAAGTCTTTTCCATTAAAACTCATAAGTTATAGAAATGAACGGTTTTGAATAGTTTCAAAACTTGCCCTCAAGGTTTGGATTTGTAAAGTCACTTTAGAAAACTTTAATTCCAAACCCTTTAATTTTAATAGTTTAAAATACAACCCTTATATATATATATATATATATATATATATATATATATATATATATATATATATATATATATATATATATATATATATGTATGTATAAGATCAAGTCAGTCTTACCGTTAGTAGGCCTCATTCACGAAGCTGGTCTATAAGGGGGGTATAAGGTTGTTGCCTATAAAATGGCAGCTTAATGGGTGTCCATTCTCACCCACCGCTTCCTTGACTGGTGGAAGGTCGTTAGCTGAACGGGTAGGACAAAGACTATAATTCTCATTAAAAGTATAATGATAAATATAAAGTAACTAAACCTTTTATAATTCCCAATCTTAGTTACTTTAGGAAAATGTGAAATTGATGCTAACCCATGGAATTACACTTTTCACCTTGCTAAATTCGTTAGTGGAGCGTGTGTGGTTAACCGGCACACTAACTTGGACTTAACAAGGGTGGCAAAGGGTGGCTTAAGGTTTATCATAAATCGGTGGAGCGTGTGTGGTTAACCGACATATCGATTAGGTGATAAAATTAAGAGTACCAAGTTAATTTGCATGGTTATTCACACCTTGTTTGTGATCCTCGGTATCCCAGTCACAAACTTGAAGGGCATAATCGAGATTTAAACATGCCATTGAATTGTTCAATGAATCGCAAAAGATCTAGGAGTTTCAATCCAATTAAAACCTAATAATCTATTTCGTTTTTCATGGTGGAATTTGGTAAATTGTGATTTACCTACCTTCAAATATTTTGTATCTTGGATTACGACATCCCTCTTCCAATTTATAAAATATTGTGTTGGGTCCTAGCCTTAATATTTCATTTGGGTGCCTTATTAAGGACTCTTTATCTAATCAAAACTTGTCTTTCTTCTTTTCAGATGTCTTCTAATAATGCTTCTGGCTCGAACCCTTCTGGTTCCTTCTCTCTCATGAACCTTTGTGGGAGAGTCATCTTTGATGGTTCCAAATTCAATGATTGGATTAGGAACATCAGGATGGTCACTCGTTATGAGGACAAGGAATATGTCCTAGACAAGGAGCTGAAGGAAATCGATGAGTCGTCTGCTACTCCAGAGGAGATTGCTGAGTACACTAGCCATGAGAAGGATGCCACTAAGGTGTCTTGTATCATGTTGGCTACCATGACAGTAGAAAATCCAGAAATCCTATGAAGATTTCTACTCTTATGAGATGCACCAGGACCTGATGGAAAGATACCATCAGAGTGCTCGTCAAGAGAGGTATGAAATCATCTCTTCCATGATAACAACCAAGATGAAGGATGGTGAGCCCATCACGAGCCACTTGCAGAAGATGCAAAGGTTTGTGGACCGATTTCTTAAGTTGAATGTGAACTTCCTTGAGGAGCTGGCTATTGATATCATACTACACTCCTTACCTCCATGTTATGATCAGTTCCGTATTACCTATCATATGAACAAGGAGGAGGTCACACTTAGCAAACTTCAAGGACTTTTGAGGACAACTGAAACTGGTCTCAAAGGTAAAACGGTTGTATCTACTCCTACCATAGCCCCTGTTCTGGCAATCGCGCAAGGTAAAGGGAAAAAGAGGAATGCCTCTTCGAAGGGTACCATAGGAAAGTCTCTTGATGGCTCCTCTTCAAGTGGAACCAAAGGAGGTTCTGCTACTCCCTCTTCCAACCCGAAGGATGCACAATGCTTCTACTGTCAGGAAA